GGGGCGAGGTTGGCGAGCTGAGGACAGAGGCTGCAGGTGCGTCTACCTGGGGGCCCGGAGCCGGGGAGGCCTGGCTGTCGGGGGCTTGAGGGCCGAGGCCGGCTCCTTTGGCGACGGGGGCGGCCGGGGCCGGGTCTTGGGTGGGAGGCGGGGCGCTGACTATGACCGAGGCGGGCACGGAGAGGTGGGGGCTCTCTGCGGGGAGGGGCTGCTGGCTCCTCTCCTGCAATGGGCACCCGCACAGGGTCAGAAGGCCACCCCATAGCCCCTCAGCCCCCCACCTGCCAGCCTGCCCCACTGATGTTGCCCAGGCTGCAGAGTAGGGGTAGTCGGGGGTCCGGGAGAGAGGCACCCCGAGAGCCCTGGGCTAGGTGGGGCGTGCCGCTCAGAGTGGGGGAGGCCGCATCCCGGGCAGTTTACTCCACTGTGGGCGTCCATCTGTCTGCCAGCTCCTCTGTGTCCTCAACCGCTCCTGCTCTGTCTGTCTGTCCATCCCTTGCTCAGCCGTTCCCTGTGAGCCCCCTCCAGTCCTCCAGCAGTCTGTCAGTCATTCAGCCAATCAAGTCAGTTTTTCTAGTTGTCTGTCTGTCCATCCAGCCAGCCACCCATTGTCCATTAGTCAGTCAACCAGCCAACCAGCTTCTCTTGTCTGTCTTCTGCCTATCAGTCACTCCTCTCTGTCAGTACATCGCCAGTCGAGTCAGTCTGTCAGTAAGCCTGCCAGTTATTTCTGTCAGTCGGTTCTTCTCCATGTCCACCCGTCCATCTGTCTGTCAGTCATCAGCCAGCCAGTCTCCTCCTGGTCTATCATCCAGCCTGTCGGTCTCTCTCCCCATCCATCAGTCAAATCCTGCCAGCCACCCTGGCGGTCTCTCTCCCGGTCAGTCAGTCCCTCAGCCCCTCCAATCGCTGGGCTTTCTGTCAGACACACCCCACCTGGGGCTCAGATGTCACCTGAGGTACTGTCCCTAATACAAGCCCCCCACTGCCTCAGCGGAGTCTGAATTCAGCTCCCTGCCACCACTCTGCCCACTCCCAACTGCTGCCCCCTGCCAAGTGCCCCCACCTCCTCTCAGGCCCAGCTAGCTTGTCACCCGTCCCCATCTAGCGGTCTCCCTGCCCAGCCCGGTTACCTGGGGCAGGAACATCTGCATGGAATCCTGAGTGAGGATGGCCGTGGGGGCGGCAGCGGGTGGCGGCCCCAGGACTAGCTTCTCAGGGCTGGAGGCCAGGCCCGGGCTGGGCTGGGGGGTGGCGGCCTGAGACGGGACGGCGGCCTGGGGGGTCAGCGCCTGCGGGGGCTGCTGCTGCACCGGGGGCTGCTGGAGGCCCAGAGGCAGTGGCGTGCTGACAGCGGGGGGCCCCTGGGGGGCCGTCTGCACCGTGAGGACGGACGCGGCCTCCCCGGGGGCGGCGGCAGGCGTGGTCGGCTGCACCAGGCCGTCGGGGGTGTTGAGCATGGCCACGGCGCTGGGCGGCAGGGTGACTCCCTGGAGCACGGTGGTGGCAGTGGGGCCGGCGGGGGCCGGCTGGCTCTGGGTGGGCAGGCTGCCGGCGGCCAGGGACACAGGCATTTGGAAGAGTGCCGGCTGGCCCACCTGGATGGGGGCGGCCGAGAGGATGTGGGCCGCGCTGTGGGCCCCGGAGGGGGGGGCCAGCACGGGGCCCAGGCTCAGCGGGCCGGCCAGGTTCTGGTTGGTGAGGATGGGGTTGGCGATGAGCTGTCCACCCGCATGGGGGGCGGCGGCCGCCAGGATCTGCCCGCCCACGTTGGCCGGCAGAGCGGAGAGTGGCTGGGGCAGCTGGACGGCCGACGTGCCAGGCAGCAGGAACTGGTTCTGGCCGGGCAGCATGTGCTGGGCCGGGATGACGATGCTGCTGCCCTGGTTCAGAAGGTGAAGGCTCATGGGCTTGCTCAGGGCCCCGGGCGGCTGGGGCGGCACAGCGCCCGTCGTGGTGGCAGGGGGCTGCTTGAAGACATTCGCCTGCAGGGCAGGTGCCGGGAAGCCCGACAGGACCACGTTCTGGCCCGCCTTGCCCGCCGCCATGAAAGTCAGGTTCTGGGGGGCCTTGGGCTGCTGCGGGAGGCCCCCTGCCTCGCCCTGGATGGTGAGCGTGGCACCCGCTGGTGCAAAAGGCTTGGGCGTCAGTTGGTAGAGCTTGGGGGGCAGCACGCCGGCAGGCTTGGGCTGGATGGGCGTGGGCGTCCGGTGCAGGATCACGTTGGGCGCTGGCACCAGCGGCGACGCCCCTAGGCCGGGGGCCACGGCCAGCGGCTGCCCCGAGGGCGCCCCGCCCGCTGCGGCTGTGGCAGCCCCCGGCCCGGCGAACACAGAGTTCCCGTTGAGCGTGGTGGCCACGGCGGCGGGCAGGCTTTTCTGGATCACCAGGCCGGCCCCCTGGGGCGAGACGCCGGCCGATGCCAGGGTCACCGGTTCCGAGGGGCCAGCCGCTGACGCCAGGTAGCCGCTGACGGGTACCTGCTTGGCCAGGAGCTGGGAGGTGGGCGGGTTGAGTGCCATGACGGGCTGGCCCACCACCTGGATGGGTGCCAGGCCGAGTGTGGCCGCGGTGGCGCCGCCGGGGCTGCCGTTGGGCAGGCCCTGAAGGCCCGGGATGGGCTGCAGGGTCACGTTGCCCAGGCCCACGGGCTGCAGGAAGGGCTGCACGCTCAGAGCCTTGTTGACCATGTCCTGGGACTGCATCAGGGTCTGGTGGGCCAGCACGGTGGGCGGTGCCTGCAGCCCCAGCAGGTCGGTGCTGCCAGGGAAGAGGGCCTGCGGCCCCGCGGCCACGGCCGCTGCCCCCGCTGCGCTGGCCGCCCCGGCCCCGCCGTCCGCGGGCTGCAGTGTGGGCAGCTGGAAGGGGCCCAGGTCCAGCTCGGCTTCGGCCTCGAGGGTCTGCTCGGTGATGTTGGCCTCCTGGAGGCTCTGCTGGAGGATGTCGCAGGGCTGGTCGGTGCCCCCGCCGCCCCCGCCCCCGCCCCCCGCCGAGGGCGAGCCCAGGATGGCATCTTCTAGGAAGTCGAGGTCCACGCTGGGCGCTGGCTGGCTGGGCTCAGGGTTTAAGTGGTTGCCGGAAGCTTCTTGGACGTGGAGCTGGAGGCCGGGTGAGGGGGAAGGAAAGAGCTGGGGTCAGTAAGGGGCCAGGCTGAGGCCACGGCTGGAATGATAGACACCTGGGCTTCAGAGTGCAATGATCAGGTAGCACATTCCGTGTGGAAGTGGCTGGACCGGGGTTCGAATCCCAGCTCCACCACTGGTCAGCTGGGACACCTGGGATTATCTTATCGCGGCCTCTGTTTCCCTATCTGTACACACCAGCCAAGCCATGCGTCCTCATGTGTTACAGAACAGAGCTACCCCACAGGGCTTTCCTGGCTATAACCCTTATGGAAGGCGATCACCAGGCCTTTACTCTGTGGCATCGCTGAGTAGGTTTGAACCACTAACCTTTCAGTGAGTAGTCAACTGCAAACCATTTGCATCCCCCAGGCTTCTCCATTCACATTAGCAGAGTATAATTTTTTAAAAAATTATTTTTTCTTTAAATAGAAATAAAACCAAAAACCAAACCCACTGCTAATGAGTTGATTCTGACTCACAGCGCCCCTAGAGGACAGAGTGGAACTGGACCACAGGGCTTCCAAGGCTTAATCTTTACAGAAAGCGACTGTCCCATCTTTCTCCTGCTGAGTAGCTGCTGACCTTTTGGCTAACATGTTTTAACCACTGCGCCATCAGAGCTCCTTAAACGAAAATACAAGCCCACAATTCTTATCTACAAATCTACAACCCCAAATGCTCTGAAAACCCCCAAAATTTTCCTAACTCTCAGCACCAGAGCTTGCGAGAGCAGACACAGTGGTACTCTCGGTACGATGTGTCTATCCACGGGGTGGGGCCGTGTGAGCGTCTGGCTGCGGAAAGGGGAGTGTGTGTGTTAAATGTTGATTCTGTGCCCCCTTTTCCAAATCTGCACAGTTCTGGACTCAAACCCATCTGGCCCCGAAGGCTTCAGATAAGGAACGTGGTTCAGTTACAGCAAAAATCACAGCAGTGTGAAGTCAGACACAAAACAAGAAATACTGTATGATCCAATAGGAAACGTGCAGAAGACAAGATTAGTGACCACCAGGGGCTGGGAGCCCCTGGGTGGGGCAGCGGTGCACACGCTCAGCTGTAACCAAGAAGCTGGAGGTTCGAGTCTGCTCAGAGACACCTTTAAGAAAGGCCTGAGAAACCAACTTCTGAAAAAAACGACTCACTGACCATCCTGCCGAGGACAATTCCACTCTGACACACAGGGGCCTCCGGGGGTCGGGACCCGCTCAAAGGCAACTGGTATCGGGGCTGGGGGCGGGGGAGTGGGGAGTGCCTGTTGTGGGGGTGCATTGGGCCCCTCAGAGCCTGTGGCCTCTCTATGGTGAAACGGTGGACGCAAAACGCGCTGGTGGACAGGGGGTCTCGTGGGACGTGGAGCTGACTCCCGACCTGGACCACGTGGGAGGAGCCAACACCTGACTGTCCCTTCAGGGTGTTATCAAGTAAGAATACAGGACCATAAGCTAAACAGAATGTGTATTCGTAGGGTTTCCAGATTTAATCTTTGCTGTTGTTCAAGACAAGGAGCCCTGGCGCTGTAGGAGAAAAGGCCTGGTGACCCGCTCCCGTGAAGATGAACCCAAACCAAGCCCCCTGCCTTCAAGTGGATTCTGACCAACAGCACCCACAGAAGACAGAGCAGAACCGCCCCACGGGGTTTCTTCAGGGAAGCCGACTGCCTCATCTTTCTTCTGCAGGATGGCTGGTGGGTTCGAACCACCAGCCTTTCAGTTAGCAGCAGAGTGCTTAAACACTGTGCCACCAGGGCTCCTCCACAAAGATCAGCCAGTTCTACTCTGTCTTATAGAGTTGCCCTAAGTCGAAACTGATGGGACAGCATGTAACGACAGTTACTAAAATACATTTTTGGGACACACTATCACAGTTGTGAGAAGCAAATGAAAATTACTGTAAAGGGCTGGGCAGAGTGTTCAGTGAGTGGACATTACCATGATGAGGAGGAAGGAGGAGCCGCTGGAGAGGGAGGGAGGAGGGAAAGCAGGGGAGAGGAAGGAGGGAGGGAGGGAGAGGGGGGAGGGAGTGGGGGAGGAGGACGTGGAAGGGGCTGGGGAGGGGGAGATGGAGGAGGGGAAGAAGAGGCAGGGAGGACTCTGACGCTGTTTCCTAATGGGCCCAGCACAGCCCTGGGCACAGTAGGTGCTCAGTAAACGCTCCCTACGCTGGCCTCTGGTCACCATCCCTGCCTTCGTTTCACAGGCAGAAACTGAAGTCAGTGCCACCATGAGGTCAGGTATCCTTGTGCGAGTGTGTGACACACATGCACGTGGCCGAGCTGGGCCAGGACCCCAGACCCACCCTGGCAGAGGAGGCTGGAGACACCCTAGAACCGGTGTGAGCCAGGGACCCAGAACCCCTCCCCCCAAAGGGGCATGTGGGGTGTGGCTGGCCTTAGGTGTCTGCTGAACCCTCCCCCTTCCCCCACCCCTGTGCTGCTCAGTGGTGGCCCTGCCCTCTGCCATCCAAGCCCCTCAGGCCAGGAGCCCACAGCCCTCTCTGTCTTGCCTGCCTCCCCCCAACACAGCAGCACGGACCACTTACCCCAGGACCTTCATAGAAGGCACTTTGGGCCTCCCCGGGGTTATCCAGGAGGTCATCACTGTCGAGCTGCAACAAGACCCACCCCACCCAAAGTCAAAGGTCAGCCGGGGTAGGGAGGCAAGCTCTGGGGCAACAACCAATTTTGGGTTCCCGGAAAGAAGAGGGGCGAGGGTGGGGCAGGGCACAGGAAATGCTGCTTCCCAGGACGAAGGTTCCCAAGAACGGGGCTTGGCACCCACGCCCTCAGCCCTGCGCCAGCAGACGCGGCACCTTGCTTGGGGACGACAGTGCTCTTCTTGGTAGATGTGAACGTTAAAGAAGTCACACCGCAGCAGATCCCGGACAGAGTGGGAGAACAAGGTGCAACAACACTCAACTCATTTAAAAAAACGACCAGGTTTGCTGGTCTGATGGAGCCTGGGTGGAGGCCCTGAGACCATGGCCCCTAGCTGCCCTTCAGGTCTGGAATTGAACCCACTCCTGTGGCTTCCAGACAAACAACAGACAGGCATATGGGGTAAACATTTCCATGAGGTAGATACACCCCTTGTAGCCATAAACTGTGGGAGAACAGGAGGGCAGTGTTTGCACAGGGAGACAGCTCAGGGGGCAGGAGTGCTTGGGAGGGAAGGACACAGGGAAGAGGTAACTACGGGCAGGAAGTGGGAAGAGAGCTGTTGCATTGTGGGAAACTGCAGTCAATGTCCTGACACAAAGTATATGTGAGCTGCTGTATGGTAAGTGAATTTGCTCTGTAAACTTTCACCCAAATCAGAATAAAACTTGAAAAAAAAATGAAGTCACGCCAGCATAGTTAGTGCTAATCCTAATTTCTTCTGAGTGTTTTATAGAAGAGGAGAGGACACGCACAGGAGAATCCCAAGTAACAAGACATATCTACAAGCCAAGGAACTCTGAGAAACGCCTGGGCTACCAAAGGCTAGAAGAGATAAGGGTCAGCGCCCAGTGCAGACAGAGAGATCACCCTAGAGCCACCCTGAACTCAGACCCCTAGCCCCCAGAAAGTCCTGGGGATGCGATGGGTAAGCACTTAGCTGCTAACCAAAAGGTTGACGGAAAAGACCCAGAGAGCTGACCCTGTAAAAGTGACAGCTTAGAAAACTGGGGGGGGGCAGTTCTGCTCCATCACGCAGGGCTGCTATGAGTTGGAATCACCTCGACAGCACCCCAAAACAGCAGCCTTTCAAGACGGGGAGCTCAGCTCCCCTCCGAGGGTGGGCTGGGCTTGGTGACTGGCTTGTCACTGGGAGGTAACAGTGTGCGACTCGGGAGACTAGGTCATAAAAGCCACTGCGGTTTCCTCCTGGCGATCTCTCTCGGATCACTTGGTCTGGGGGAGTCGGCGGCCATGTTGTGAGGACCCTCGAGCGGCACTTTGGAGAGGCCCACACGAGAGGAACGGAGGCCTCCAGCCAAAAGCCATGGAAACGAGGACTGGAAGCATGTTCGTCCATCCGGACAAGCTTCCGGATGACTGCAGCCCTGGCCAACATCTTGATCACAAGCCACGAAAGACCTTAGCCAGAGCCACCCTACTGAGCCGCTCCCAGATTCCTGACCCTCCCAAACTGTGAAACACAACAAACGTTGCTTGAAGTCACTAAGTGGTGGGCTACCTTGTTATACACCCACAGGCAGTGACTTCAACTCCTGGCGGCTTCAACCTGCTAACAGCCCTGCCCTCTATCCAGGCTTTCCAGCCTTGCCTGACTGGTGACTTCTTCCTCGAGTCTCCCCTTCAGTCCCACCCAGCAGCCTTCCTTCTGTTCCTGAGCAGGTCAGGCCCCTGCTCACCTCTGTACCTGCCCGTCCCCTGCCAGCTGCACTGTGGGCACCTCTTTGATCGTCTGGGTCTCACCTTCAGTGGCACCTCCTCAGACTGCCCCTCCCTGGCACACCAGCTAAAGGAGTGCCTGCCCCTCATTCATTGTCTCTGAAACTCCGTTTGTGGTGCAGGTGTCCTCACGGCTACGTCTTATCACACCCCGCAGGGCACTCTATCACCTTGATTAAGCTTTGCTTACCACGGACATGTATATGATGTGAGGGCAGGGGCTTTCCATCTGCTGTGTTCCAGTCACAACCTCAGGACCTGACCCACAGAAGGCGGGGGTTGGTATCTCCTGACTGAGGGGCCGAGCTGCTCACTGTCTCTCCGCCTCCCCATTCCCTCGGCCCCCAACCCTGGGAAACATCTCTCCCTGCCCCAGCACTTACCTTCTCGGATCCATGTAAAAAGTCATTGAGGGCCTGAGGGTCACTGAAAGAGAGAAGGGGAAGACACGCTGAGGAGGGAGGGGTGGGGGGAGGAGGGACGAAGGGGGAAGGGGAGGAAGGAGGGGGGGTCTGAGAGGGAGGGAAGGGCGGGCGCTCCTTACTCACCAAATCACGTCTAGTAAGCATCTCCCATCCTCATCATCCATCGCCACTGGATGAGGTGGGGCGGGGGGGGGGGGGCAAGGGAGACAAGGTTAGATGTCGGCAGCTTGCCTGGCCCCTCCCTTCAAGGACAAGTCCCCACTGGGGTTGGACTTCCTGTTCCCTTGAGCCTACGGGGCAGGTGGGTGCAGGGAGTACCTCCCAGGTACCACCCCAATGGAACCTCCTGACCAGGGACTGCTTCCTCCCCCTCTTCCCCTGAACCCCCGTCTCTCGTTCCCTAGCACCTTCCGGTGAGGAGGGCATCAGCCAAGACGAGCTGAGCCCTGACCATGGGTAGGCCCGGCACGAAGTGCTTCACACACGTTTAACTAGTTGGATCCTCACAATGTCCTGTGAGGTGCATCCTGGCACCCCACTTAGCAGACGGTTATTATCCGTCTCCCAGCCCGCAGGCTGCAGAGTCAGGCCTTGAAGCCAGTCCTGCCTCTCTGAACATGGGGACTGGCCCAGAGAAGGGGTGTACCCTAAGTATGAACGGGTGAAGGAAGGAGGGAGGGGCTGGGGGGCAGTGGAGGCAGCAAGAAGGGCCTAGAACCCAGGGTTCTGAGTCCCCCGTGAAGATGCATGCAGTGTGGTTCAAGGAAGGGAAGGGGAAACTGAGGCAGAAGAAAGGGAGAGGTCACGAGGACGGGTGCTCTGAGCGAGAGAAGCCACCGGAGAGAGGCTGACCCTCACGGTAACACGGGGAAGTGGGGGACGGCTACCGTCTGCTGGGCACTTGCCATGTGCCAGGCCCCATCCTCAGTGTCTCACTACCAACGGCTCGTTGGGCCCCCAGGAGGCAGCGACTATGGGCAGCCCCATTTTACACACGAGGAAACTGGCGTTCTCGGTATCACCCCATCCACGTGCCTCGCTCCTCCCCCATCCAGACTCCCATCTTTCCAAACACCGCTCCGTCCTCTGTCCTTCCAAACTCCCACCCGTTCCTTCATCTTTTCAACCCCCAAACCTCCATCTATCCTTCCAAGTCTCCAAACACCCTTCCATCTCTTCAAAGTTCCATCATTCCTCCTCCTTCCCAAACATCCCTCCACCCACCCTTTCATCCTCCCAAAGCCCAACCCATCTCTCTACACTTCCAAACTGTCACCTTTGATCCATCCTGCAGGACCCCTTCATTGTCAGCCTCCACACTTCACCCAACTGTCCATCTCTCCATCCACCCGTCCATCTTTCCCTTCTTCCAGAACCCAGAGCGATCCTCCCTTCATCCTTTGACCCTCCCGTAGCCTCACACATCCTTCAGCCGTCCTTCCCGCCCAGTAAGGGACACAGGCTACAACCAGGAACAACACACGATTCTTCAATGGAGCGGATTTACAGCCCAGGGCCATGGAGTTCTTAACCTTTTTATTTTTGGGGGGAGGTGGCAGGGAGGTAGACCTCACTGAGGATGTGCTAACTGTCATGGATTCCGCCCCTCCAAAACAAGAAAACTAGCACACACACGGTCTCAACGTGTGCTCAGGCTTCAAAACCCTCCACCCCTGGGCATCCTCTAACCCTCTCAGCGGGGACCGCCCAGGAGCCACCCGTACTCCCACAACTGCTCTGTGACAGAACGAAGGGGCCGCACAGGGACGTCCCAGAACCGGGCCGGAGTCTTCTCGGCACCGTGTGGTGCAGAATCTGAGGACAACTTGGGACCGTCTCGCGTGTGGACGAAAACACTGACTCCTGCTTTCCCAGGGTTCACGGATTCTCTCCCCACTGCACACGCGTGCACACACACAAACACACACACACACTCTTCACAGGCCCCGGGTCAACACCACTCACACTCACTCACACACACACACACACTCACTCTCTTCACGGGCCCCGGGTCAACACCACTCACACTCACTCTCACACACACACACACTCTCTCTCTTCACGGGCCCCGGGTCAACACCACTCACACTCACTATCACACAAACACACACACTCTCTCTTCATGGGCCCCGGGTCAACATCACTCACACTCACTCTCACACACACACATACACACACACACACACCCTCTCTCTCTCTCTCCACGGGCCCTGGGTTAACATCACACACATGCGTGCGCGTGTACACACACTCTCTCTCTCTTGTGTCCATGGTCCCTGGGTTAACATCACACACACACACACTCTCTATTTGTCCACTGTCCCTGGGTTAACATCACACACATGCGTGCGCGTGCACACACACTCTCTCTCGTGTCCATGGCCCCTGGGTTAACATCATGCACACACACACACACTCTCTATTTGTCCACTGTCCCTGGGTTAACATCACACACCAGTCTTCCTTCCAGCACTGGGCATGGGAATTGGGGATGGCCCCCACACGCCCCGCCTTGGCCGCTCTGCCTTAGGCTGTGACGACACACTCCCTGTGCTCCACATGCCAGCCCCCACCCACACTTCCTCCTCCCGGTGGTCCCTGGCCCACCAGCCCCTCCCCAACCTGCACGTGTGTGGGGGTTGGGCACCAAGGTCCGGACAGAAGACAAAAAGGCAAGAGATCTTCAAGAATCTGGGGAGGAGGCGTGGGAGAAGAGCCAGGTGCAGCTGCGCGGAGGGAGGGGGATGGCTCCAATGATGGGTGGGGGGTGCGGGGGGCGGGAGCTGAAGGGCGCGTCTGCACCTGCTGCCGGAAGGCAGGCCCCTTCCTCGCCTGGGGCCAAGGTGGCACCAGGCAGGGGGACGAGGGACAGCCACCCGGAGTGCGGTCCCTGGGTTACCTGAGCTACACTGGAATCATGAAGGGGAGGAGGGGCTGTCCGCTCCAGGTCTACGC